TCTTCTCTTTTAAAGGGACATACTATTTCCTCAACATCCACCAGGTCCAATACAACGCCCAACAAAGTTATCATATAATGCGTCTACTGTGAAAAGTAATTTTCTTACTAATGGAAAAACAACACCAACAACTCCCGATGTATTAGATCAAATAAAATGTATAATTGATCATCAAGAACCTCTAACAGAAATGACACCAACAGTGGCTAGTTCTAATGGTTTAGCGACACCTGGCATTTGGTCTAATTTTTCTCCCAGTGAATGGCCATCAAAATATCAATCATCTTGGCCAACAACAAATATCAATAGTCCATCCACACTTTTACCAACTCAAATTCAAAATCCATTTATTTCAGTTTCATCATCACTATCATCCGTCCAATCACCGTTGAGTTTTCTACCAACAATACCTACTTCACTAACAGACGAAGATGATTCAACAAAATCAAAACTATGGTCAAATGAATCAGTATGGTCAGCGAACATTTTACCTACGACTTCTACAACGACAACAACAAACTCTTCAACATCAAAATCAGCATGGATTGATCTACTTTTACCATCATTAGAGTTTCAAAATTCACAACAAACAACAAATAAAATTAGTTCGAATGAAAAAGAAAATAGCTCATGGTTAAAATTTTGGCAGTGTGTTCCCGATACAAATCAAACAGGAACTGATGAGCAAGTTGGTGAAACGACCAAAAATAAAGATGTGAGTCTTTGATGAAACATTTTTGGTAATACTCTTTCCTTGACAGCTTATGAGTGCAAAAGTAAGTGACGAAACGTCGAGCCTCACTCCTCCATTTTTCGAACATATTTGAAACAAAAAACTTGTTTTCGTTTAAAAGATCGAAGTCTGATCTACTAAATTAGTGTTAAGCACAGATTTCACCTAGTAAAAAGTTAGGGAGAAAACATATAAAACTTCTGTTCTCTGTCTACGTTAAGAGTCTCCCATAGTGCACATCCGCGTAGATATTTAGCAAAAAAATCGAAGTGCTCTGTTTTCCGATCTAAGTATAAAAAACGATACTTCAAGATATGAACCATATATTCTCAAAAGAATTTTTGTTCTATCTGCTAATGATCATGAGAAAATACTTAGGCTAATGTTAGCCTTCAAACACACTGGATTTGTGATCAAGTAACTTTTTCATTAAATCCAACTAGGTCTAAAACAGCAGTGACATAGATTATGAACCTAAGCTCTTTTTTGGTTAAATCAACGAAAATATTTCCCAGTTTGGTGAATAGTATCGGAGAAACAAATTTATTTTCCAGGCTAACTAAGCTTTCGTAGACGTGTGTCCAGTGTACCCTTCTCTGTCAGAAATATACATTTTTTCATAAAAAGTTGATATTGAGTTAAAGCATATGGATGGATAGCCCAAGATATCTACCCTTAGAGTTCTTACTGTTTTTGCCAATATCAAAGATTTTTGAAAGTTTCAGAAGAACTTTTTTAAAAAAGTAATTTTTCTGAAATTCTGACATGTTAGTAAAATGCCGGATTCACAAACAATTTCAATAATATCAGTTGGGTAGACCAAACATTTCTAGTTAAAGTTTGATGCATTTTGGGAACAGAGATAGATGGAACCAAAAAGAAAGTTTCCTCGCCATACTTTGATAGTATGATTGCATACTATGCAGACTCTTGATTTTTTTTTCGTTTGTTCTTAATTAAATCTTTATCTTTGTATTTATTTTAGTTATGGAGTCCATTAGAAACGATCAGTCTTAATTTGTTAACGTCAGATACAATTTCATCACTCGACACTGCTTGCTCTACGCTACCATCTTCCAATGATATTTGTCAAGAGCATCAACAGCACGATATATTATGGCCATCTGCTGCTGTTACGACTGTTGATGATGTAGTTGAAAATGATGGATTTAATGGAAACAATGAAAATGACAATAAAGCATCTAAAGAACGAATTTCCTTACAATCAAAATGGGATTTTGCTCGTTGAAATAAAATATCTTCATAACAACTTTAACCATCAACAGCGTATTCTGTGATCATCTCCCTCCCGTTTTTTTTTCTCCTGTATATTATTTTTTTGTTGCTATAGTCCAGTTTTTTTTATTATTTTTTTGTTTATTGTTTTGAGAACAAATTTAAATAATAATAGTGAACAATCATTAAGAAGAAAGAATGATTATGACATTTTATCGTTAAATGAGACGAATGTAGATCCAACAACAACAACAACAACAACAACAACAACAACAACAACAACACTTCGTATTACCGAATTTTCAAATTTTTAGACATGATAGATTAGAAACACGAGAAGGGATAATTTTAGCGGTTTGTGACACCTATGACACCACGAAGTTGTTAATAAAACGGACAAATTGAATGAAATCGTTACCGTCCAAATAGAGAGACTCAAAGAAAGTTCTTTTAGCTTCTATTTACGTTCCACCAAGAATAAAGTAGAGCTCTATTTGATGATTTGTATCGTCTAAACTCGGACACATTAGTGTTCAGCGACATTAACGCAGCCCTACAGCCGATAGGAGCCAAGAAAAC